GTCAGGACTCCTGGTCTGAGGGGGGAGGCCTGGGACCAGTAGCCAGGCCTTGGATGAGGACCGGGAGGCGTGGTCCGGTGTGGCCCCCACCACCACCCCGCCACCCCAGCTGTCCTCCTTTGTCTCATGACAGGTCCATGGAACCCGATCCTTCGGGATCAGGAGGAGCTATTTGGGAAGGAACAGTGGCCTGAGACAATAGCTGCCCCACCCCCAGGGGCTATTTTGGGGGGGTGGCGTAGCAGGTGAAGGGATGACATTTCCTAATAAGGGGCTCCAGGGGGCTTCTGGAGGATCAGGCTGACACACACACACCCTGGCCAGCTGGCTGTGTGTCTTCCCTGGTCACCTCTCCTCACCTTCACCTCCATCCAGGGTGCTGCCTCCTCAAAACAGCTTCTACCCATAGGTCCGTCCTGAGACCCACATACTTAGACAACCCCTGTCTGAGATCCCCTGAGTCCCGAGGTGCCCTGGCCGAAGACACCCCAAATCCCAGCAACCCCAGATTCAGAACCCCACTTCATGCTCCCTGATTCTGGCATCTGCAAGCTCTCCTATCTCCTCTTTAGGGGACTCCAGTCTCCGCTATTCAGATTCTGCCTCCTTGAAAGCTTGAGACCCCCACCTCGGTTTCCAAGACCCCTGATTCTCTTTCCCCCAGATTCTAAGATCCTCAAACCCTCGACACCCCAGTTCCTGATACCCTCAGATTCAGGTACCCCAAAGCTCCAACCCAAACCAAACTCACAGCCATGGAGTTCATGCTGACTCAGAGTGACCCTATAGGACAGGGTAGAACTGCCCCCATGTGTTTCTGAGACGGTGACTCTTTATGGGACTAGAATGCCCTGTGTTCATCCCTAGAGGTGCAGCGCGTGATTTCCAACCACCGACCTTGGGGAGCCCAGCGGAGCTCGTGACCACGAGGCTCCCTACAAATCCAACAGCTCAAATGCTAGGTCTCTTATCTCGGCACCCTAAAATGGTACAGCTGTCCTTTCCAAGACCTTCAGTCCTGAAACCCCGGTTCGGATGCGCCCAAATAGCCACGATTATGGTTCCGTGGCCTCCATCCAAACAGAAAAGCAGACATCTTTTCAACGTGCAGTCTGTGGGGATGTACATTTCAGGTCATCCATCCTCTCAACAACTGAACACAGCAAACCTCCCAGTAGCTGGCCCTGCCTGTCCCCACCGCCGTATCTCTTCTCCCTCTTGGAAGATTTCATTTGTCCCTTCACCCACGTCCACACCTGTCTATCCTCTAGCCCACTGCCTGCCCCACCCCCACCCCCATAACCACCAAAGTCGGTTGCTTTGAGCATGAAACCCACTATCTTAAGGTTTTTTGCCTCCCTTTGTAGCAGTGGTCTCGTGCAATATTTTCCCTCTTGTGATTGACAGATGGGACTCCAATGCTTGACACTGCAGGTGAGGGACTTGAACACCCCCACGAAGCCCTGCACCCTCTTAATCCTGAGCTGATGATGTTCCTGATGCTGGACTCTGTCAACTACATACAGGAGGGACCCGTCTGTAGGACAGGAGGAAACACTGCCTTGCCCTGTGCCAGCCTCCAGGCAGAGGCCCCCCACCCCCACCCCAATCCCAGTACCCCAGCTCTGAAGGCCAGATCAGGACATCCCCAAATGAGGACACTACAAATCCCTTCAGATTCAGAGACCTCCGTTCTTGGAACCCCAGCTCCGGACACCCATCCCATTCCCGACACCCTCCAGGTTCAGAACCCCAGATGCTGACACCCACCCGGGCTGTGGGACCTCGAAACTCCGTCGCCACCCCACCCCCCTTTCTGAGATCTCCACTCTCCACTCTCAGATCTCCCTCAGTGCCCCTTCTCCTTCGACCCTTCTCTCTCCGCTCCACTCCCATCTCCCCGACCCCCGACCCCTCTTCTACCCCTTCCTTGAAGGCCTTGTGGAGATCGCAGGTCCCCATTACCTAAGGCTGGATCTTCTCCGCTGTTGGAAAGGGCTGGACTGAGTGCCTTTGAGGAGGCTGGGGCATCCTGGGTTTATAGCCACCCGCCCAGCCGCCCCGCCCCCAGCAGACAGGGAGGAGAGGGAATTCCTTTCTCCAAACAGTTGTCCGCCCTGCCCACGAGGCTCCAGGTTCTGGAGCCAAACAGCTCCCAGCTGCTCCCAGGCCCCAGCCTCACCCACACCGATGCCTCCCTGGGACCCTGGGCTGGGAGGAGAATCCTTCTGGGCCCCCACCCTGCCTGGTACTGCTTCCATGTCAGGGTGCATCCCCGGGGTTTTGAAGGCCCTGGGTCCAGCACCCAGTAACCCCCATTGTCACTGAGGTTAACTCCAACCCATGGCAATGCCACATATCATGCACTGGCAGGAACTTCAGACCACACCACAGGGTTTGTTATGGAGTGAACGGTGCCCGCCTCAAAATACCGACGGTCGCTCCTCATCCCTCCACTGGGGAAGAGCCTTGGAATCGCGGGACCGGAAGAAGGTTCAAAGGACCTCAGGCCCCCTCCCTGCCCTTGAGTGGATGCCCAAGACCTATAGTGAGCCTGTGGGACAGGCAAAACCGCCCCGCGCCACCCCACCAATGAGTTGCAGAGACTGTAACAAACCCATCTGTCTCGGAGGAAGTACAGCAGCGTGCTCCTTGGAGACCAGTCCCCGGAGAAGGGCATCTGCTTGGTCGAGTGGAGGAGCGACCAAAAAAGAGGCAGGCCCTCGAGGAGATGGATGGACACGGGGGCTGCAGCCATGGGCTCCGACATCAGAACCAGGGTGAGGGTGCCGCAGGACAGGGCTGTGTTTCCTTCTGTTGTGCCTAAGGTCCTTAGGAATCAGGACCGAGTTGACGACACCTAATGACCTGTGTGTGTGCGCGCGCCCTGATGGCATAGTGGGTTATGTGTTGGGCTGCTAACCGCAAGGTCAGTGGTTGGAACCCACCAGCACTCTGTGGGGGGTAGGGAGGGGGCGTGGCGAGGCTGTCTACCTGTGTGGACATGTACCCCCTCAGCAACTCGCAGGGGCAGTTCCTCTGTGCCCTGTAGGGTGGCGCTATGAGTCCAAATCGACTCGAGGGCAGGGGGCTGATGCTAGTGAGGGTGGTGCCGGACCAGGCAGGGTGTGCTTCTTTGGCACGCCCGGTCGCTCTCAATAGGGGTGGACGGCATGGTAGACCACAACCTGAGCATCCTTGGGGAGGTGATCCCATTGGGGAACAGGGCTCTCCTTATTATGTTTTCAACCTGGTCCTCAGGGGAGGCTGTATCGGAGACGCAATCACTGATTGGGTAGAAAGGAGGAGGCAGGCTGAGAAGGGGAAGGAGTTACCACAGCCCCTGGAGATGACTGAGAGACAGGTGCGTGAGGACCTTCCCTTACAGCTGGTTCCGGCACATGGCGCTTGAGCGGAAACCCAGCCCTTGAGTTGAGTCTGATTCATAGCGACCCTGGGCTGACCCTGTGGGCTTCTGAGACCCACTCTGTACAGGAGGGGAAAGCCTCTTCAGATGAGGAAAGCCCAAACCAAGGAAGCCCCAGGCCAACGGGTGGATTCCGAAGCAGAGCGATTCCATAGAGAGTTTCCGAGGCGAGACAGCAGGTCTTTACAAAGAGCAGATAACCTCACTTTTCCCAGCAGAGCAACTGGTGGGTTTGAACTGCCGACCTTGCCCTTCGCAGCTCAATGACTAACCCAGGGCACCAGACGGTTTGATCCCCGCAAGGGCCTTCAGCATACGCATCTTGGAAGTGCTTGTGGATTCAAGAACACTTGCTGCTTCTGGCAGGCCGGGGGGTCGTTTCTGGCCCTCTGGCCCTCAGAGCCTGTTCCAGCTGTCCCTGGGACAGCGGGTGTCTGCAAAGTTCTGCCCGACCTGCTCAGTCCTTTGTCTCTCCCTCCCCCTCCTCCCCGCTTTGTCTGCTACCCGGATTCCACTCTGGTGATGACAGATGCTAAAGCCAGGGAAGCAGGGGTGTGTGTGTGTGTGTGTGCGTGTGTGTTGGCGGGTGAAGCAGTAAGAAGGGAGAGATGGGGTGTCAGCGAGGCCAAGTGCAATCTCATCCCCCACCTCCATCTGACCCAGGGACCTTGTTTAGTATTCCCACTCCCTTCCCCCTCTATGCCATGACCTTGACGGCTGCCCTCTCTCTGTCCCAGCGGCCTCTCACTATCACTGTCTACTGCCCCCAGTTTGGTTTCTCTGCTGTCTCTCTTTGGGGTTCTCTTTCTGGCTCGCTGTCTCTCCCTGGGTCCCCTGGGGGGTGGTGCTCAGCCCGCGGTCCCCGTGCTGTGGTGCTGCCGCTGAGAACCAACCTCTCTGGTGGGTCTCGGTCTGTGGAGAAGCCTGTTTCTGGCCGCCTATGACTTGGCTCCTGCATTCCTGTGACTCCCTTTTAGGGTGTCTGTGTCTGCCAGTTCTCCCTCTGGGGTGGGAGTGGGGGTGGGGGTGTGTGTCTCTATTTAGGCCTTATCAGGGCTCTGGCACATCTGTATATCTGGGTATCTGTGTTTTCTACTTTTCTTGCCCATTTTTCTTGGTGTTTCTGTCTGCCCCCACCCTACCCCTTTGAGCTTCTGGCTCGCTCTCTCTTTTGCTCTCTCTCTCACTCCATTTCTCTCTCATGTCCCTCTCTCCGGGGCCCCGGTCTTAGCATCTCTGCTCACCTCCTCTCATGCAGCGGACAACTTGAGAACAGCCAGAGTTAGAGACCTTGTTCGTCGGCCCCTGGCCTGCTCTGTGGGTTTGGAGGTGACTTGTCTACAGGTACCCAACCCCGAGGTGGGAAACCCAACCCCACCCCCCACCCCTGCCCCCGGGTGGGAGACACACAGTCACAGCCACTCCAGCTCAGAGAGAAGTGGCTTTACTTCTCAGGGGGCCGTCCTCAAGGCCAGGGTAGAGGGCTGGTGGGCTCAGCCCTCGAACTTTTTCTTGCGGCCTTCCATGCCACTCAGAGCATCGATGTTTTTGCGCCAGTCTCCCACCTCCCGGTTTTCCTGGGGAGAGGAGGTGAGGGGTTAGGGTTTCGTCCACTCCCCCAAGTATCTTCCACATGTTCAATATCCTGCCCGGCTGCTCTGCTACGGATCTGGTTCCCACGGGCAGTCTGGGCCACATTGCCTCATGCGCTTCCTGTCTCCCACATGCACTTCCTGTTTCCCATTTGTTACTTCCGGTCTTCATGCTTACTTGCTCCCTATACTTCCTGTCTTTCTCTTCTTGAATCCCTCATTCACTACCTGATCCACTCCCTCTTACATTCTCTCTTTTTTCTTTTAAGAGTTTTATTGGCACATAATTCACATATCATACAATTTAATCATTAGATCGTATTAAGAGTTGTGCAATCATCATCGATTTCAGAACATTTTCCTTTTTTCTCTTAACGCTTTTATTAGCACGTCATCCACATGTCACACAATTCAAAAGTTCAAAATGCTTTCATTCTCCCATGCCCTGCCTGCCTCTTTGCTACTTCCAGTCTCCCCATTCGATTTACTGTCTTCCTCTTCTACTTCAGGTCTTCCCCTTCTACTTCCTGTCTTTCTGTTGCCATCTCCGGTGTCCTTTCTCTACTTCCCAGGGAAGACTGCTGACTAACCGCCTTTCCCCTCAACACCATACACCGCACCGCCTGCCTTCGGGCTATGTCCTGGAACTGTTGCCCACCCTTGCACGGAGCCCCTCACCTCAGCGACCCGGGTCCTGACCCCAAGCCCGCTCGGGCCATGTCCTGGGACTGTTGCCCACCCTTGCACGGAGCCCCTCACCTCAGCGACCGGGTCCTGACCCCAAGCCCGCACTCACCTTCTCAGTGTCCTCCTTCTTAACTTGCTTGAGGTGGGCCCGCAAGTCCAGCGACTCCTTAGACCGAGTCCCCAGCAGCGCCTGCATCATGGCGTCTGCAGAAATGCGTACCCTCCGCAGGGTGGGGCGCTTAAACTTGCCCCGAAGGTCGTAGATCTTCTGGGTCAGATCAGCGATCTAGGCGACAGAGAGGAGGTAGAGTCCCTTCCCCCTGGCTCCTCTGAACCCCATCCTTCCACTTTATCCTGCCTCCCAGCATGCAGGACTCAAGACTTTCCCCAGCTCAGGCGCTTTCTCTGCCACCTTCAGGACAGAATCGGAACTGCTCTTTCTGGGGCTCAAAGCCCTCCCCATTGTCCCCGGCCTCATCGCTTAACACCAGAAGACATAGCTCTGTGCAACTTCACGCGTCTTTCGTTTCCCCGGCCTGCCCCGTAGCTTTTTCCATAAGACAGGCGTCTCCTGGATTTTGAATCCACTGTTCTTTCTTGCCTGGGCAGCTCTCCTGGTTACATTCCACTGGTTCCTCTGCCTTCTCCCCACCAGGCTCACAGCATAGTCCTGCATCTCCTGGGAGCAGTAATCAAAAGCCACTACAAGAGGTCATGCTGGGACCACAGCGCCAGGCATGTCACTGGACCCTGTTGGTAGTGGTGGATGTCATTGAGTTGATCTTTGATTTACAGTAGGTCGCCAGATTAGGGAGGAAGGGGGTTGTCTCCCCAGTGCCTGCACAAGGCCATCACAGAGGGGCTAGGGAGATCAGGGACATTAATAGGACACCTGTGGGAAAATCTAAAACCTGGCATGTGCAGACTAGGATCCCCACCCCCACCCCACTCCCCGCTAAGTGCAGGTGAAACCAAACCTAGCCACAACCTATACATGACACAGGTAATGTATCACCCATGACATTATGCAGGTGTGCTTAAACACACCCAGTAAGATCAGCCAATGTCCTCAACCATGCCTCCCCCAGCCAGGGGGGGCGGGAGAGAACAAGAGCTAGGTGCACGCAGCCGAGCACTCTCTCTTGGTGCACCACCATCCTATTTTTCTCTGCTCTTGCTCAGGTGCACCCTGTAAGCTGAGAGTGAGATGCCTCACTAAGCTGAGCGTGAGGTGCGCATGGTCCTGCGTCACGCTGCGGGAGGCCTCTTGCTCTCCTGGCATTTATTGCTCTGCCTTCCTGCGCTGGTTCCTTGCTCCTGGTCCAGTATTCCTTCCTTGTGTTTCCTTCAGCCTCGAACTGGGCCTTGCACAGTTTCCAGAGAGAGCGTGCACTTTTGAGACTGCAATACCCGAAACTTCCCTTTCCCTCATAAAAGTGACTTGGATTTACAAAAGTGCTTCTGCTGTGTGAATTCTTTCAGTGCTGCAAAGCTCGAACCACTTCGGAAACCTAACAGCCCCATGTGACAGGTGAACCACCCTCCTACGGAGATGCTATTCTTATAAGAGAGCAGATCAGCAGGTGTTGGAGCCTTGGGCTGGGCTGGAACTGTCAACCTTTTGTTTTACCATCAAGTGCTTAACCACTGCGCCACCAAGGCTCCTTCAATGGACTCTGGAGGGACCCTGCCTGCCTCTGGGCGCCCACCTCCGTGATGTTCTTGGCGACTTTTGCCTCCACATCGTATCTTTCTTCATCCGTCTTATCCACACGAGCGTGGAGCTGTCGGCACAAGTCCTGGCGGAGAAACAGCACACGTGTGATGGGGGAGGGGACTCCAGTCTGAAAGAGGGGAGGCTGGGGATCAGGACTCCTTGATCTGAGAAGGGGACTGGTGGTCTGGACTCCTGAGTCTGAAAAACGGGCAAGCTGGGGGTCAGGACGCCTGGGGCTAAGGGAGGAGGGACTGGGGGCCTGGACTGGGGCAAGGGAGACAGAAACCTTAGCATCTGGTCTCTGAGGGAGGAGGAGCCAGGGAACTAGGTCTCCAGAGAACTGCCAACACAGGAGCCCGGGGCCCAGGCTCACGAAGATCTGCAGGAATTAGGCTGGGAGGGAGTGTACCTTCGCCAGCCTCGTGGGCAGCTGCAAGCCATGCTTCTGAGTCCCAGAGGCCAGCTGGGCCCGGGAGATTGGAGCCCTGGGCATTGAGCAGAGGGGTGGCCGTAACTGCTTCTCTTTGTCACGGGACGGAAGGCCAGACACTGGGAACCTAGCTCCCAGGCCGCGTAGTTACCTGCAGCTCTGCAAAGCTTAGCCCGGCCACCTCCAGAGGCTGGCACCGGGTACTCAGGGCGCGCCCCTTCTCCCCGCGCCGCTCCTCCGCCTCCTGTTCCAGCTCCTGCTTCGCAATCTGCAGCATCAGGATCTGCAGGTGGCAGGGGCCAGGCCCAGGGGTCACCTCCACCTGCCCTGCCTTCGAATCCACGGTCTACGGAGCCCCATGCCCCTCGGGCGTCCTGTCCCTTATTTCAAAACCCATCCTCTCCTGAGACAAGGCTCTGACAGAAACCCCGCCCACTCAGCCCGCCTCCAGAACCCCACCCTTCAAGGTTGGTGTCCATCATCGGAAAACCCCACCCTCTTAGAGACGCCCATGGTACAAGCCAAGCCCACCACGCCTGAGGCTAAACCACCCTTCAAGGTTAGTGCCCATCACCTGGAGGCACCACCCTCTCTTGGCCACGCCCATGCCATAAACCACACCCACCGCACCTCCTTCTGAAAAACCCGAAATTGAGGCCTTTGATCTCAAAGCAGGGCTCATCCCTTAGCCACGCCCCCGATGAAAACCACGCCCACCTTCCTATGCAACTCCACCCCCAGCAACACGGTCACTGTTAAGCCCCGCCCTATGAGGACCCCTCTCCCCTCTCCCATTGCCGTCCTCACCTTCAGCTGCAGTTTTCTGGAGGCCGAGATCTTAGACTTTTTCTGATGGGCGAGGTGGAGCACAGGAAGGCCCAGGAGCACCAGTCAGGAGGGTGGAGAAAGGCTTCAGAGCCCACCTCCTCAAGCCAAGTCCGCCCCAATTCCCACTCGGAATTTACAGTGAGCGTCACCCCTAAGCTCCACCCACCCTCAGGCCCCCTCAGTCTGATTCTAGGTAAGCCCCACCCTCCTCCACTCTGACCAATCAGGATACCCGTGGGCAACAGATCTCCGCCCACAAGAGCTCTGACCAATCCGAGCCAGCCATCTATGAACCTTCGCCCTGTCATGCCTTTGAGTTCTACCTAAGCCACACCTCCACATAAGTCTGGGCTCCACCCCACCTTCCCCTTTTTCAGTGACAGTGTCCTGACCTCAATCTTCAACCAGAACCCAAGCCCCGCGATTCTAGGTAAGCCCCACCCTCCTCCACTCTGACCAATCAGGATACCCGTGGGCAACAGATCTCCGCCCATAAGAGCTCTGACCAATCCGAGCCAGCCATCTATGAACCTTCGCCCTGTCATGCCTTTGAGTTCTACCTAAGCCACACCTTCACAGAAGTCTGGGCTCCACCCCACCTTCCCCTTTTTCAATGACAGTGTCCTGACCTCCTCAATCTTCGACCAGAACCCAAGCCCCGCCCCCCTGGGAAATCCCGCCCACTGGCCCCGCCTCTCACTGGCCCCGCCCCTCACCTTGGCATGGGGCTCCGTAGCGTAGGCTCGGTAGTTGGCAGAGGAGCGGCGTCGGACAGGGGCGGGTGGGGGGCGCGAGTTCCCACCCTGGGGTGAGGTGACCAGAGTTAGGTCAGCACTGAGATTCAACCCATCTCCTCCCCACGCCCCATCTTAGAATTACAGCCCCCACTCTCCACTCCACTCCCGAAAGCACCCCCTCCGCAGCCCTGGGGGTCCCAGCCTACGCCCTAGCTCCGCCTCACCGCATCGTTGCTCCTGGGGGGAGAAAAACAGGGGGGGCGGAAAGGATTCTTGTTGAGTCTGGTCCTGTCCAGTAGATGCCCACAAAGACCCCAGCGGCCCTGCTGACCCGGAGGTCCAGGCCAACAGACCCCCGAGCCGCAAGCAGCCGTCCCCCTTCCCTCTGTCCGTCTCAAGACTGCTGTCCAACCTCAGAGCTCACCCTCCTCAGGAATCCTGGAGATCGATCGCCTCACCTCCCGCACCCTGGGGACCCCAGGAGCCCGCCCACCGGCCTGCACCCTCACTCACTCGTCCGCCATTCTGAGAGCAGTCTGGAGATGGAGAAAAGGGGGGGAGAGGCTGGCAGTGGGTGAGCTTAGGGGTGTCCCTGGGGGTGACCTTGGAGGTCCGGGGAGGCTTCTGTCTCCTCCTGGTTGTCGGAGCCTTGCTGAGGACACCAGATACAGGGCAAGGACAGACACTAAATATACCCCGTGCCCTCCGCCCCGCCCAGGATGCGAGATAACGGGGCGCGTGACGGCTGGGTCACCCGAGCCACCTTGGTGTCCTGGACACCAGGGCCTCTCCTCGCCCAGACCCAGGAGTGTAGGCCCCCAGTCCCTCCTCCCTCGATTCAGGAATCCTGACCC